CATGGCCCGGCTGCCTGCCCCTGTGAGCCATCTTCTCGGGCTTTCTTTAAAGCACACTTCTGGGCTCTGCACCGTCAATCGTCAACCTACCTGGCCCACCCTACAATAAGCTCCGTGCTGCACGTCAGCATCAGAGAAGGTGGCGCTGCCCCGCCGGGAGGGGGGGGGGGGGTTGGCTCCCTGCTCCCTGTCCCGCTGGCTTTGCACGCACTCGTCAACCCTGGAGGCGACCTTGAGGGCACCCTAAGGACCCCCAGGGGACGGGCGTGGGGACGGGACACGCAGAGGTGAGAGGATGCCCCGGATCACAGGGCTGCTCAGGGACAGGGCGCTGCGGTCGGTGCCCCTAACCGCCAGGCTACCCGACCACACCTCATTCTTTTGGGGGGTTGTTTTATTTTTGTTTTGTTTCGTTTGTTTTGTTTTTCTCTCACACCTCATTCTTAATTCTTCAAGTTCTCTCAGGGATTTATACTGTTTGCCCTCACCGGTTTGCCTCAGTGGCTAGAGCGTCGGCCTGCGGACCACAGGGTCCCGGGTTCGAACCCCGTCAAGGGCACGTACCTCGGTTGCAGGCTCTTCCCCAGCCCAGGCCCTGGTCGGGGTGCATGCAGGAGGCAACCCATCGATGTGTCTCTCTCACATCGATGTCTCTCTCTGCCTCTTCCTCTCTCTCCCTCTCTCCCTAAAAATCAGTGGAAAATTATCCCCGGGTGAGGCAGGTGCCGGGCCTCTCACCTGAGACGGTGACACTAGTTCCCCTAAAACGGCTGAGTGTCCGGAGGGGCTGCCGTCCGTGGGACGCGGCTGCTCTGTGCCCTCGGTCTCACCCGCTGGCTTCCTGCCCGCAGAGCGGGGTCCTGTCCTCCCTGCCCTTCCTGGCTGCCTCCACGTGCACGGTCCTGGGGGGCCAGCTGGCCGACTTCCTTCTGTCCAGGGACCTCCTGGGGCTCCTCACCGTCCGGAAGCTCTTCTCGGCCCTGGGTAAGGACAGGCCCCGGGCTCGGGGGACCCACCCCGCTCCGCGTCTGGTCCGAGCGGGTCCTGACCGTCCGCCCCGCCCAGGCCTCCTGCTCCCGTCGCTCTGCGCCGTGGCCCTGCCCTTCGTGGCTTCCAGTTACGTAACCACCGTGGTTTTGCTGATCCTCATTCCCGGGACCAGCAACCTGTGCGACTCGGGGTTCATCATCAACACCTTGGACATCGCCCCCAGGTGAGACCTTCCCGCTGGCTCCGCCTCCAGGCCGCTCGCTGCCGGGGCGCCGGGCCTCCGTCCTGTCCTGAGGCGGGTTTTTGTTTGTTTGTTTTTAACTATGGTTTTTATTGATTATTTTTTAGAGAAAGAGAGGGAGAGAGAGAGAGAAACATTGACGAGAGAAGAACATCCCTGATTGGCCGCCTCCTGCCTGACCCCTATCAGGGATCCAGCCCGAAACCTGGGCGTGCGCCCTGACCGGGAATCGAACCCTGACCCCCTGGTTCATAGTTGGATGCTCAACCACTGAGCCACACCGGCCGGCCGGCCAGAGGCAGTTTTATTTTATTTTATTTTTTATTTTTATATTTTTATTGATTTCAGAGAGGAAGGGAGATGGGGAGAGAGAGAGAAACATTAAAGATGAGAGAGAATCATGGACC